CATCAAAATTACTGCACTAATATTTTAGGTAATAGGTCAAGACAATTATACTTTCTGAGTGAATTTTTTTAACATTTAGTAGCAACCCTTTTAATCTCTGATTATGCTTTTTGACTTAATGTCTGCTTTTCTTCTAATATGAACATTGCTACATTAGGTTTCTTTGTTAATAATTATGATTATGTTATATTCCAGCTCCTTACTTTCAACCTTTCTTTCTTTTTTTTTTTCTTTTGATATAGTCTATCACCCAGGCTGTAGTGCCATGATGTGATATTGGCTCACTGTAACCTGCACCTCCTGGGTTAAAGCGATTCTCCTGCTTCAGCCTCCTGAGTAGCTGGAATTACTGTTGTATACCATCACACCCAACTGATTTTTATACTTTATTAATAAAGACAGGGTTTCACCACTTTGGCCAGGCTTGTCTTGAACTCCTGACCTCAAGTGATTTGCCTACCTTGGCCTCCCAAAGTGCTGGAATTAGAGGTGTGAGCAACTACTCGTGTTCATTTCAACCTTTCCATGTCATTCAGTTTTTTGAATTACAGGTTTATTGAGATATAATTTGTATACCATACAGTTCACTTTTTCAAAATATACCATTCTGTTTATTCAAAGTTTTGCAACCAACATTACTGTCTAATTTTAGAACAGTTTTTCATCACCTTGAAAGGAAACTTTATACCCATTAGCAGTCACTGCCTATTTCCCACCTCTCCCTTTTCTGTGGTAACCACTAATCTATTTTCTGCTTCTATCGATTTGCCTGTTTTAGTCATCTTAGATGATATTATACTGTGGCCTTTTGTGTCTGGCTGTTCACTTTTCATCTGTATTACAGCATGTGTCAGTACTTCATCATTTTTAATGGCTGAATATTTCATTATATGGATATACCACACTTTATCCATTGGTGGACATTTGGGTTGTTTCTAATCTTTGGCTCTTACAAAAAATGCCATTATGAACAATCATGTACTGGTTCTGTCTGAGTGCCATTTGTTAAAAAGACTGTTCTTTGTTGTTGAATTGTCATGGGACTCTTCCTAAAAATCAGTTGACCATGTATGTGAGAGTTTTTTTTCTAAACTCCCAATTCTATTCTATCGATCCATTCTTCCATTTTTATTCCAATACCATACTATCTTGATTACTGTAGCTTTGTCATAACTGTTGAAATCGGGAGATGTGACCAACTTCTTCTAGCCAAACCCTTTGCAATTGCCCCTTCTAAAGAAGAGTATATTGCCTCACTGCATGTCTTGGCTGAACTTTGTGACTTACTTTGGCCCATGGAATAAGGTGGAAGTGACAGTGTGATAATTCCAACCTAGTCCTTGGGAGGCTTCGTGTATTTTTGTTCTTCTTTTGAGCCTCTAGACTAACCCAAATTTACCCAGTGGTCTTAGGAAAATGCAAGTCATGTAGGGCAGAGCTACCTACATCAGCCAACCCTAGACCTATAGGAGAGCATTCCTAGCTGCTTCACTATGCATCAGAGATGCCCCACCAAACCAGGGGAAACCTCAACGAACTGCAAAACATAAGAAAAGAGGCTACCAGTTTCAATCAGGAAAGCCTAGGATCTTCCGTGAGAAGATGATCATGTACAAATTTCTTAACTCTTCTAAATGAGTCATTTACAAACTGTGTGCATTTTCATTGAGGATCAGCAGGGATTAAGACAATTCGAACAGAATCTCTACTTCATGGTCACTAAGGGAACCAGAGTCTCTACCACCTGTTAGCCACAGTCTGTAGCTTGTAGCCTTTTCAGCTATCAACATGAGAGTCAAGGCTAAGAATCTACCCCAGATGTCAAGAAAGACTTTGGGTATAATCAATGCTGGAGTGAAAAGGATCAACACTGGAGAAAAAAGGAGAAGAGTTAAACATAATGACGGTCTGGAAGATGAATTGAATTTCATGGCAAAAGGGACTCAGGAAGTCATTCAGCTATCTGGATGTGAACCAACTAGAAGCAAGTGTGTATTTTTTATATGGGTCATATTGTTGGATCCTATCTCATGGGAACTAATAGCTTAAAGTGGTTTTCAAACAAAAGTATGAAACTTGCAAATATAGCAAATGAAAGTGCATAATGTAAACAAGATTTTAAATGTAAAGTACTGCTTTCTTCAGGATACTGAAGGAAAAAATGTTTTCAAAAATGTTAGCAGCAAATTTCAATAATAAATGTACTGAATAGACAGACATTATCTGTCTATCCAAGTGTTAAAACTACCAATTTTTCTATCCATTGAAGTACATATTTTTAGACATAATAAAAATGAATTTTCCTTTAAAAAATACTTGTATTTCTCTTCTTTTGGTGATTATCCTTAAATATGAACATGCTTAATGGGTACAACCATTTAAATCTAATCACAGTCACTCTTCTATTGAATAATTCAAGATTCTGAAGATGCTTTCATGTTTGTCTAACCCCTTTTCCTCTTCCATTTAGTTGTTTACTTTTGTAAATCCTCTTTGTTCTTTACTCAATTACCAATTAGTCTTTTTTTTAGGTCAGTGTTTCTTTAGATTTACATAATGCTGAGCATTTACTTATCTTTGCTTCTTTTTGATTTTTCTAGATTCAATCTTCTTCATTCAAAGTACATTCTTTAGTAGCTCTTTCAGCGAAGTTCTTTTTAATTCTCACTCTTTTGAAAAATATTGTTTTAAAAATTGTAATTTCTTTTCATAATAATGGAAATCAACAATCACAAAAAGCAGAAAAAATAGTATTGAACCTTTTTATACTCCTCAGTTTCAGCGAACACACATGTATGGCTACCTTCTTGAATTATAGCTTTATTGGATATAGTTTAATTGAAGATGTATTCCTGGATATTATTTTGATATGGTATCTATTACGGCCTAATTGTCTTTCCTTTATAGTTGGCACCATGGGCTTTTACAAATTGACATGTTTGATTTTGGAAAATTCTTTATTTTTTTTTCTTTTTTGAGAGGGAGTATCACTCTGTTGCCCAGGCTGGAGTGCAATGGCTCGAACCTCCCAGGTTCAAGCAGTTTTCATGCCTCAGCCTCCCATGTAGCTGGGATTACAGGTATGCACCACCATGCCTAATTTTTTAATATTTTTAGTAGAGACTGGGTTTTGCCATGTTGGCCAGGCTGGTCTCAAACTCATTAACTCTGATAATCACCCACCTTGGCCTCCCAAAGTGCTGGGATTACAGGTGTCAGCTACCATACCTGGCCTAATTCTGGAAGATTATTTGGCATTATAACTTCAAATGTTTATCTTCCATTTTGTTTCTATATTATTCTAATGGAACTCCTTTCAGAAGTATTCTCGACCTTATCATTCTGTTGCCCATGAATCTTAGCTACTCTTCCAAAAAGTATTTTTGTGTCTCACTGCTATAGACTTGGTGATTTCTTCAAGTCTACCTTCCAGAATATTCTTTCTTCAGTGTTTCTAATCAGCTTTTTAAGCCATCCATTGGATTTTAAATTCAATGACATGACTTTTTATTTTCTAGAAGTGTGATTAGGTTCTTTTTTTTTTTTTTTTTTTTTTTTTTTTTTTGGTTTTGAATTGGAGTTTCACTCTTGTTGCCCAGGCTGGAGTGCAATGGCACAATCTCAGCCCATTGCAACCTCTGCCTCCTGGGTTCAGGCGATTCTCCTGCCTCAGCCTCCCAGGTAACTGGGGTTACCGGCATGCGCCACCACACCTTGCTATATTTGGTGATTTTAAAAAATTCTTTCAAAGCTCATAGATGTCATAGAAACCTGAAGTTGGTTATTATAGTTTCTAATCCATTTTAACCCTTTAATGACTATATTTATTTTTAATTTGGGCTTATTGCTATAATACAAACATATGAAATGAAAATCATAAATATAAATAAAATTAGATGAATTTTTATAAAATGAGCATTCTTTTCTAACCAGCACCAGATCAAGAAGCAAAATATTTCCAGAACCCCAGAAGTGTTTTCATGCTCTCTTCTACTCACACTTCCCACCTCCAGGGTAAATGCTATCCTGACTTGTAGGGCTATACTTTAGCTTTGCCTGTTTTTGAGTTTTATGTCAACTAAACTATACAGTGTAAATTATTTTATGGGGTTTTTTTCCTTCTGCAGATGATCTACATGCTCTTAATCTTAATACTTGTGAATTATGAAGACCCTGTATACATTTTCACGTTCATTTCTTGGCTCTTTTACTTACTTTTGTCTTAGTGATTTTTAGAAATACTGGATAAATCTTGTTAATTATTTGATTGGGAAATCTCAGGAGACATGAAATTGGATTTCTCACTTTAATGGTATAGACCTAGTGTTTTCATTCTTTTAGGATTATTGCTTTTTGCCATCTAATTCCCCATGTCAGACTGTGTACTACCGTATTGCTTTTGTGTCCTGGTGAGTGAAGTTTTTCCTATTCTCTTGTTATGGTCAGAGAAAGTCCTTGAAGTCCCTAGGTTTTATGGAACATTGTTAGCACAGCTCTCTAACCAGTGTCACCCTCAAATCATGTCACTTGCCTTTGCCTAGACATGAAAAGCCCAGGTCAAAACTCCTTTGGTCCCTTATCCTGGTACAAATTTCTTTTGGGCCTTCACCATGACAGTTTCCAGCTGTATATTAATAGCTTTGCATTTCATATGCTTCTAGTATCAGACTTTGTTTTCCTTCTCTAAAGATGATATATGTGTGTACAACTTTAAGGTGTTTTTATTAGTATTTTTATGTGTTTGTGAAATTATCTAAGGGGAAGTGAATAATATGGAAGGTAAGCATCTGAATCAGATCAGTTTGCCATTCCTGAAAAGTGATCAGATCCATCCAATTGTAGCGACTATGCAGTGGTTGACTAGACTTAAAGATGTTTTTTGGGCTATGGGCCAGAGTGTTTCTTCTGGCCAAATTTCTTGAACTGCATGGGACCCATTATTTTGCTGAACTGATTTAGTACCATACGAACTAATTCATCTTTTTGTCTTTGTTTTATAGAAGCAGATTTCTAAAAATAATATTGAAAAGAAAAAGCCCAAATTTAGAAAAAGGAAAAGGTATGCTTTTCGAAATTAAATAATATTATGATAAAATTGAGATATATATTGGATTTAGTTATTGCATGACCTTTCTCACAGTCTTTGATTCTGTTTCACTTGAAAAATACTGTGTTTACAGTTTTCTAAAAGAATTAGTAGAAATATGAATACTAAAAGTTTTATATTTATGAAATATTTTGAACCAGAACTTTTAAATATTAACATCATATGAGCAATCAGGTGAGAATCAGGTTTTTAGTTTAAAAATAGGTGATGTAAACCGGAAACAGGTTTTCATAATGAACTGATAAGCCACAGATGACAAGTTTTAGTATTTATCATTGAACCAGTGATTTTTTTTAAAGATTGGGAATCAGTGCTGTGTTAGGAGGGATACTACTCAAAAACAAGGACTGACACTTATAGGAGGCCCTTTTCTTCTTCTTTGTACTTTTTCAGAAGATGAGTAACTACATTTTAAAAATGGACTTCCACTGCCTTATTTCATTACACTTCACAGTAACCATATCAATAGTTAGGAAGTATATTATAATCTGCATTTTTAAAAATGAAGATTTCCTGTCTTGGAGAAGTCAGTGACATTCTCAAGATCTTAGGGTTAGACAAATTATATCTGAACAAATTTCTTCTGCCTCTGTGTTAACAACGTAGAATAGTGGAAACAGTATGGATTTTGCAGTCTGACAGAATTTAGTTCTGCCATATTCTACCATTTACCTAAGTTGTCAAATTTCTCATTTTTCTCTGATATCTCAAATTCTGTTTCTTTATATAATGACAAAAACAATTCTTAGTTTTTTTTGGAGGAGGATAATGAAAAAGCCTGTGTAAGGTGCTTGGTAAATTGTTACTGCTTTGCACATAGTAAGAGCTCAAAACAATATCTGTCTTCTTTTTTTTTCACTGCAGCATACTTTCTTACTACATAAAACAACCCAGAAAATTATTTTAAGATAAGAAAATATATATATTTATAATCTACAGTTACCAATGAATATACATAAATGGTCATTTAAATATATATAATTGATCTTTTGAAACTAAATCTGTCCAATTCTTTTTCTAGGAAAGCAACTTTAACATACTCTTTTGAAAATGTTTGTTATGATGATGCCTTATCAAAGGAAAACATGGGTATGTGAAGGCCTGTCCTGCTTTTGGTTCTTTAACCTATATATAATTCCACAAAATGTAGTTGTAGTCCTTTGAAAGAAAAGAAAGATCTGTTTTATGTGTGTGTGTGTGTGTGTACATACACACATGAAAACATATGTATACATTTATACACATATATGAGAAATATTAATGGATTATTTGTGTTATTGATTTAGATACTGAAGCTTTTAAATTTTCTTTAGGTTTCTATTTCCTTGAATTAAATTTTCTCTGTTTAAGTCATGTATTTAATTTTTAAAAATAATGCACCAGGCCAGGTGCAGTGGCTCAGCCCTGTAATCCTAGCACTTTGGGAGGCTGAGGCATGTAGATAACTTGAGGTCAAGAGTTCAAGACAAGCCTGGTCAACATGGTGAAACCCATCTCTACTAAAAATACAAAAATTAGTTGGCCGTGGTTGTGTGTGACTATAGACCCAGCTACTCCAGAGGCTGAGGCAGGAGAATCACTTGAGCCTTGGAGGTAGAGCTTGTAGTGAGCCAAGATTGGGCCACTGCATTCCACCTGGGTGACAGAGCAAGACTCCCTCTCAATAAATAAATAAAACATAAAAAAATTATACAATAACAAACCAGCAGCTGTGGAAAGAAATACTAGCAACTATACATTTCAATCCAAACTTCTTCATTCCAAACTTACTGGGATCTTAAAAGTGCCAAAGGGAGAGAAGAAAGGAAAGCAGCAGCCTGGGACTTTCAACTAAATTGTCATTGGTTAGAATACAGTAGAGTGAATGTGGAATGCAGGAGAAAGTTTGTTTTCAAAGGCAGTCTCCTTTTTCTACATTTTCTTTAGTCTTGAAAAGCAGTCAAATGCTTATTTGCAATTTAGAACTTTGGCAGTCATGTTCAAAGCTCATTAAACCCTGAGGAGTTATCGGTGATATATTTATTCCCTTTTCCTTGAAGCCACTCCCAGGGCATCCTATGGCATTGCAATTCAATTGGCTAAATAAGTCAGTCATTGTAGTCTTATTAAAAGCAAGGAAAGCGAGGTGCAGTGGCTCATGCCTGTAATCCTAGCACCTTGGGAAGTTGAGGCGGGAGGATTCCTAGAGCTCAAGAGTTAAAGACCAGCCTGAATGACACAGTGAGACCTCGTCTTTATTAAAATAATAATAATAACAATAATAAATTAGCTGGGCATGGTGGCAGATGCCTGTAGTCCTAGCTGCTGGGAAAGCTGAGGTGGGAGGATCTCCTGAACCCAAGAGTTTGAGCTTGCAGTGACCTGTGATCACGCCACTGCACTCCAGCCTGGGTGACAGAAAGGATGAAGTAGTTATTTTTTAAAATCTACTTGTTCTCCTAAACCACTACAAACTCCTGCAGTTTCTATCTCTTTTCAAACTTATTCTGTTCCTGTTTCCTTAGTAATTAGGTGTTTTTTCTTGGCTATTTCATCCCTTTGCTTCACATGATCATTCATATGTTCCTGTAGAAAGGTAAAAGGCTGTTTACTGAGTTCCCACTAGGAGACCCTGGAACTGTAGCTGAAGCCAGGATCCTTCTCCCCTCCAACTCACACAAGATACTGCAGGAGAAATCCACTGCAGCCCAGAGTCATCCATTGATTGGAAATGACTCTTCCTTGTAATAAATGAATACATCTTGGTAGTTATCCAGGTAAAGGAAGTCTCTTCAGGATTGTAACATTCACTATGGCTCCAAAAGTCTCAAAAGGCAATTGTTAAAATAGTTAACCTGATATGTGTTTTATTTCTCCATCCCATTGTGACCCAATAAAGATCAGGAACATCAGCTCTACTGTGTTCTTTGCTAGAGTTCATTCCCTTCCTAAAAGAGTGATTCTTTTTCAACTTTCACTCTTCTCAAGTTTTTTATCCCCTATCTACTTTTCTATGATCCCTCAATCTAAGCCTCTAATATTTCCCATTTCTCCACAGCTTAAAGTAAGATCAGTCCTAGATCAAATTATAGAAGAAAGTTATACCATATTCTTGAATCTTTGTCCTACTTTTTAGACCCACTTTCCTTATACTCCAGATGTTAAAGTTTCCACATTAGTCTTCTGCCCCAGATTTGCTGATTCTTCAAGAGCTTTATGCTCCACTAATTGCTTATCTCGGTCTCTCTCAGTAAGCTTATCTCTCCTCTTTTCCGGTGGAACCATGAGTCAATTAATCCATTTTTCTTTATAAACTGTCGAGTCTAAGGTAGTTCTTAGCAATGGGAGAATGGACTAATACAGCCTTTAGCCCCTTTATCCCCAAAATGCCATGCCTCCTATTTCTTTTGTGTCTCCAGGAATAGTACTCTTTTCTTTATTAAATTTCAACCTTTATTTTACTCATGTCTGCATTTACGTTGTAAGTGTACAGAGACATGTTTGTGGCTACTTTAAAGCAAAAGAAAAACCAAGTACTTTTTCCTCCTCATCAGCCTCCTCTTTTATTAAAATGCCTTCAGAATTTCAACATTGACATAGCCTTGAAAATTTATTTAGTATTTTTTTTTCAGTGCCAGCTTTGGAATAACCCAACCAGTAGCTACTATATAATGGAATGTGTTAGTCTGTTTTTGCATTACTATAAAGAAATTCCAAAAATAGGGTAATTTATAAGAAAAGAGGTTTAATTGGCTCACAGTTCTGCAGGCCTTCTAAGAAGCGCAGTGCTTCACTTCTGGGAGCCTTTCCAGGAGGCTTACAATTATGGCAGAAGGTAAAGGGGAGCAGGAATGTCACATGGCAAAAGCAGGGACAAAAAAGGAGAGAGTTGCCACATACTTTTAAACAGCCAGATCGCATGAGAACTCACTCATTATCCCAAGGACAGTACCAAGGGAATAGTACTAAATCATTCCTGAGAAATCTGCTTCCGTGATCTGCTTACCTCCTACCAGGCCCTGCCTCCAACACTGTGTATTGCAGTTCAACATAAGATTTGGGCAGGGACACAGATCCAAACTCCATTAGGAGGAAACAGCTTCTTAAACATTTAATAGATAAGTTGAGGTGAAAGAAAACTCCATAAATATATATTTAAAGTTTTAAAATAATGACCGAGTTATTGAGACAAACCATGAGTTATTTCTTATCAGGAATGGAAAAGCAACATTGATTTGTTTTATATACATTAATTTTAAAAGCTAGATATGGGGCTGGGCACGGTGGCTTGCGGCTATAATCCCAGCACTTTGGGAGACTAAGGCGGGTGGATCACTTGAGGTCAAGAGTTTGAGACCAGCCTGGCTAACATGGTGAAACTTCATTTCTACTAAAAATATAAAAATTAGCCAGGCGTGGTGGCAGGTGCCTGTAATCCCAGCTACTTGGGAGGCTGAGGCAGGAGGATTGCTTGAAACTGGGAGGTGGGTGTTGTGGTGAGCTAAGATCACATGAAACTGTACTCCAGCCTGGGCAACAGTCAAAGAAAAAAAAAAAAAAGATATGGAATTCACTATTACAGATACATTTTTTTAAAAAAAACTTTCTCTAAGTGCTGGAGTAGCCGTAATGCTACCACTTTACTCTCAGCAATAAATTGAAACAACTCAGAGAAGCTACAAGATAATCAGTATTGATAGAAGATGATTGGTTATGCAATAAGCAAAGACATTCATTTTGTCTGTGTCTTTGGAGGATATCATTGACCAATTTTGATAACATAGTTTGTACATTACAGTAACTGCTATTTTTGAGAATTATTTTTTAACTTCATTTACAATGTAGGAATACTTATTTAGAAAAGCAAACCTCTCACTGCTCTGAAAGCAGAAGCTGACAGCAGTCAGGTTGGTGTTGTAAACCCTAGTTAACTTATGAAGTCATCATTACTTTGTCTAATTTTGATCAAAAGGCAGTGTACATATTTCTTCATATCACTTGAAAACAGCCTACAATGCCACTTGGCAATGATATTTATTATCAAAAATTGATTATATTTTAGCCTAACATTAGAAATATAAAGATGTTTGTTTGCCATTTTTTCTTTTACAGCATAGCTTAAAATCTGTCTTCTCAACAGTGCATTAAATGTCATTGTCAATTTTCATAGACTCAGAATGTAAAGTAGAAAAACATAACATTTGTGAGTGGAACTGGGGAATTGGTATGAAAATAACTATATGCAGTCATCTATTAAGTAACAGGTTACTAAATAAGAAATCTGTCTTAAAGAGGGTTTTAGTTTTATTAGAAGAAAAGTGCTTCAATAAAAAACATACATTCCTCTGGAAAATCCTGATTTGATAGACATGTGTTGTTATGTGTTTAAATAAACTCCCCAGGTGATTATTATGCCCAAAAAACTTTGGATACCACTGTTTTAGAATTTAGCATTCTGCACTCTGTGTTCTTAGGCCTTAGTAGTAACCCTAGAATATAGATCTATGTGGATGCAAGTAACATGGTAATTACAGGTTTTGCTTGTTTTGTTTTTAAGCATGAGAACTTTTTCTAAGATGTGGAGTGGCTTATTAGAAAGCTTCTTTCAAACTATTTTGAAAGAGGTTTTCCATAGAGAAAACCTAAAATTGACTAGGTGGAGGTAATAGCTAGAAAGGCTTATTAGTCTATGCCTGTTTTCTTGAGTTCCTGCCCCTTAGTAGGCAAACAGTAAATATTTGTTGATTGAATATGACAGTGGCTCATGCCTATAATCCCAGCACTTTGGGAGGCCGAGGCAGGCAGATCACAAGTCAGGAGATCAAGACCATCCTGGCCAACATGGTGAAACCTATTCTATACTAAAAATATCAAATTATCCAGGTATGGCAGCATGCACCTGTAGTTCCAGCTACTCGGGAGGCCGAAGCAGGAGAATTGGTTGAACCCAGGAGGCGGAGGCTGCGGTGAGCAGAGAACGTGCCACTGCACTCCAGCCTGGTGACAGAGCAAGACTTTGTGTCTCAAAAAAAGGCTCTGTCTCAAATATATATATATATTTATTTATTTCATAACCTGCCGTGATTTTATTTAACATTATTTAATAGGCACTTTAGAAGAATTTTATATTATCCTACTTATGTCCTTCTTGGGTATATTTTCATGTTCCATGATGTTTCAGCTGTTCTACTTGGTGTGATTTTTTGCTGACGTGCCCATGAACTGCAGATAACAGAAGGTGCTACATTAGATTTTAGTTACATGTGGAAGATGAAGGGATGTGTACTCACAGCCTTTCTCTCTGAATTACATTGTTTTTGGAAGGGCTTCTCAGACACTCCATCTGCCTCTGGTATAAGACAGCAGGCCACATGTGGCCTCCTTTCTTTGAAGCAAAGGCTTCAATAAGCCCTATAGCAAATGAAAATGTTTGTTTTATTTAAGGCAAGAATTCAAATGCATATTTTTAATCAATAGCAAAGTCTAGGCTGGGCGCAGTGACTCACGCCTATAATCCTAGCACTTTGGGAGGCCCGAGGTGGGTGGATCACAAGGTCAGAAGATCAAGACCATCCTGGCCAACATGGTGAAACCCTGTCCTTACTAAAAATGCAAAAATTAGCTGGGTGATGATGTGTGCCTGTAGTCCCAGCTACTTGGGAGGCTGAGGAAGGAGAATCACTTGAACCCAGGAGGTGGAATTTGCAGTGAGTGGAGATCATGCCACCGCACTCCAGCCTGGCGACAGAGCAAGACTCCATCTCAAAAAAAAAAAAAAAAAAAAAAAAAAAGTTAAGACTTTAATTATAGCAGGCTTTTTTTTTTTTTTTTTTGGTGGGGATACTGTTTCATGTCAGCAAGGTCAATGAGTTACCAGATTTTTTTTTCCTATTTATATATTTATGTCACAGTGGCACAAAAACACCTTTTATAAATGCAGTATTTTTTAAAAAATCAGATTAGGCAATTAAGATGTGTTACCATTTGGATTAGGAAGGCACTAGCCTGTGTTCATCCTAGCCACTTAATTACAAAACTTCTTTTAAATAGTAGTTTAATAGTCCATAGTAGAGGTTGGCAAACTGTGGTCACCAGCTGCTGACCGTTGTAAATAAAGTTTTATTGGAACATAGCCACTCTCAGTTGTTTATGTACATGTCAATGGTTTGTGCTACAATAACAGAAATTTGCTGATGCCGTTTCTATAAATAATATAATTTAGTTTGTTGCCCTTGGCCCCTAATTAAAAAAAAATTTCTTGTAAGTTTTTGACATTTCACTTATACTTTATGATTTATACATAGCAAGACTATCACATTTTTCAATGAAGAATTGTAAATGATTCACCTGGAAATTCATAATAATTTTGTATCAGGAGGAAGTCATGTATGAAAATTATATGAAACATTTGTATTTTACCTTGTTGCATTTAGAAGATTCTTCTTTCTGGGTAGTTAAGATTATGAATTAGACTGAATTAAGTGAGATGTAGCATTTTTTACTGTATTAATCATGTTTTTTTAGTTGTCTCCGAGACACAAGTTTTACTAAAAGAGCTGGAGCAAATGCTACAGCAAGCACTGCAACCCACAACCACAGCTGAGGAGTCTGAAGAAGGGCATGGAGAGGAAATAAATATGGAAGGAAAGGTAATATTGATAGTTATTTTCAGACTTAAATAACAACTCCAAATGCCTTTAAACAGCAGAATTATTCCTGGTTGTACATTTTAATATATGAACAACTATTTTCATGACTGAAATTTGAGTCCTTGATTATCATGAGGTGAATAATAAACTAGTAGCCTGTTGAGAAATCAAAACACATCTATCAGTATTTGAAAAAATCTGTGTTTAAGTAGAGGAGTTCTTTAAATTTTAAATCTTTGGGATTGGAGTGAAGAAAGGACGGTGCTCGCTGTAGCTGAAGTAGGCCACTACAGAGAGAACTCCCCCTTGCTGCCAATCTTTACAGTCAGGACAAGGGACCAGGATAACAGGAGCTCACTAGAAAATCCGCCCTGTCTGGGTTATGCACCAAGATAATCTCTATAGGGACAAACCTTATGAACATACTGGAGGTAGAATTTTTCACTGGAATATGTTTTACCATTTATATCTAGATTTGTCCTTTTTAAATTTTTTCATTTGGCTCCCTGTGCTGAACTCAGAAAAGCAAAATGTGCTTACTGCATTCAATGTCTCTGCAAATAAAATGAGAGTTTGTGCTATAAGGCTCAGGCCCTTAAGTCACAGCAGCGATATGGTAAGTATGAGAAAAAGAAATCATAGGGTAGATACTTCCATGTGGCAGTGCAGCTGTTCCCTACTAGGAAAAAAAATGCAGTAAGAAGTTCTGTCCCTTTAAGGTTTTATTCATTCATTCAGTCAGATACACAGTGTGTCTGGAGTCAAGATAGCCTATTGACGCTGACTCTGGAATGTAATGCATGTGTCCCAATCCTGGTCCTGCCAACAAGGACTTGTGTAATTTGGAAAAGTGGCTTATCACTTACCTCAGAGGATTGTTTTGAGGGTTAAACATGGTAAACCAGGAAAAGTGCTTTGCATAGGAACAAACACCCAAGGTTTGGCTGTTATTACAGATGAGAACTGGCAATGGCAGTTGCTATAGAGAATAAATGCTTAGATTTTCTTTCTTCATTTCTGTTTTTCCACATCCACACTTTGAGCAACTGCCTATCTATAAGCCTGTCTGTTCTAAGATGTAGAAAAAGATGGATTTGTAAATGGACAAAGGGGTTTATACCTTTCAGCAGACTGCCCAGTTGTATGATATCATTCAGAACATCCACAAAAATGAAGATTATTCTCAAACACGTTCTTTATTGAGTTAGGAATTAATAAAATATACAGATGGTACTGCTATGGAGATGAATATGTTAAAGGAAAATAATATTAATGTTAAAAACTCCTACTGAGTTGAAAACATAACTTTCTTAACCAGCATCAGCAATATCAATTTTTACATGAATGTGCATGGGTTGTAAATGCTACTTTTCCAATTGGGTTCTTTTCTTAAAAAAAAAGACTTGTTTTCTCTATATGGGTCTTTGCAGAATAAGACCTGTAGGTTGGTAACATACATTCCATATACATATAATTAATAATACAAATTATTCTTTTTCAGCAAATGTGTGTTTTATTTGAATACTATATGGTTTTGTGCAGTGTTTTTCAGTGCTAGCAGTTTCTTTGAAAACATACAGCCAGGTTGGTCTTTATAGTGATGTCCTGGAGCTTTTACAGGCACAGAATTAACTTCTGTTTTGCCATTATAAGTAGTCATTTGATAGAAGAGAATTACTTCTGATTTTTATTTCTTAAGGTAAAATACATAGCTTTAACTTATCACCAGGCAGGAGCTTGCTTTTTGTTTTAGATTCTTGTATTATTTTATGCTTTCAAACAGCATTTAAGAAGTGTAAAAATTAGCTATTATAACTGGCTGATGGGCAGGTGAGTGCCTCCTGGTTACCCGTTCGTAAGTCACTGTGAACACTGAGCTTTCTAAGTCTGGCATTCATACCAGGTTCAGGATATTTGGGTTGTTGCTCACTTGTAAATGAGGTGAGTAACTGTGAAACCAACTAGCAAAACTGGAGCAGTTTCAGTTTAAAAGTAAAGAAATAATCACATGATTATTTATGGATTTCATGTATTTATTTATTTATTGTTATTAGAAATAATTAATATGTCTTCCAAAGGCAACTCCACTTAAATCTGGAGATATATTGTTTTTAAAAGGAGGTAGCTTCTTATAAGTTAAATATGCCAAAAAGAGCCTCCTAAGAATTTTAAAGTTATGAACACGTTGATTCTCTGAGCAGACGTTGTATAAACTGTTTTCAAAGTTGTCAATTTTATAATCTTTTCATCATCCATTTGACCTATGAGGTTTCAGTTGGATTATCTCAGGCATTTACATCAATGGATGAGAGTAGCAACATGGAAAAAAGCTTATACACATAGATAATCAAAACTCATTTCTATTTGTCATTGAAATGTTTTGTGAAATTATTTTCCTATGTAGAGTCACCTTCCTACTTATGATCTTTTTAAGCTAACATTAACATTGGATTAATATTAGCTATATTCACCCTACATTATACTATAAACACATTCATCCTACATTATATTATTTGAACACTAGAATAATAGAAAAGTTTGTATAGCTAATGTGGCTTGAAGAATTACTGACTATGTTTTGTTCAAGTTATCAGGTAAATTTGATGTAGTTCTGATTAATTATATGGTTGTTTTGCAGTTATCCAAATGTAGCCCAGAAGCTCCAGCAGGCAGTCTGTTTGAAAACCACTATGAAGAGGACTATCTTGTAATTGACGGGATAAAATTAAAAGCTGGAGAATGTATTGAGGATATAACTAATACATTTAAAGAAATAGATGCTTTGATGTCTGAGTTTTAGAACATTATGCATACTTTTAAAAGTTAATTGCAAAAAATTGGCATCTTCATACTTATCCAAAATTAAAACCTTAAAAATGTTTAGGAAATTATACATGATACCAAAGTTGATATTTGCAATAACTTTCTACTCATACTTCATATTTTGAGAATAGCCATGATTTTTAGAGTCAAATGGTATTTAAGTTAGTGTTAAAAATTTAGAATTAAGAAACCCTGATACTTGTATTTGTATATTTCTTGTTTGTCTTAATTTTTAAATTGTTTGTGAAATTTGCCTCACAAACACATGCTTTACAATGATTATTTAGGTCCTTTATTCAAAAGTGGCTAACTTAAAGTAGCTGCCAAGCTACTATAATTCTCACAGGTAATTCAAATCTAATAAACATAGTGAATGTGTATTTGTAGTGGAATCAAACTATTACAAAATAAAAGGAAATAATTTGTTAAATTATTGTTTAATAGAGTTGAAACTTTTATTAAAAACCAAAAAATGTCACTTGCTACTGGAAACAGTTATTTCAACCATGTTTCCCAAAACTGACTGCTTAATACGTCTCTGGGAGACTTTAGAAGATCAGAATCCTGGACTCTTTCCTGCTGAGTAAGTATCTTTGGCGGTATCATCTGGAAGATGAGAAAACGTAATTTAAAGTGTATAGAGAGGAGTTAAACATATTCATTATAAGAAATCTAAAAACATAGAACATAAAAACTATATCATTTTTCAGGGATTCTCATGAACAGTTTTAGTAGATATCCTTCTAGATCTTGCTTTAGGTACACTGAAATGTGTGGGCATTCACACTATCTTTAGTTCCTGTTCCGTCCATCTTTCTCTGGGGACAGGGGGTGGGGAAAAGGGCATTCCAAGCACATAAAAACCAAAGCTTGAGGAGAGAAGAAATGCACAAGAGCATCACCACAGTGGTGAATTTTATTGTGAGTTGCCTCATATTGCTTTAACAAGAAGGCAGCACATGTATAAATATTAAAAATAAATAAGACACCAAACAACCAACATAACCACTACGGGCTCATTGAGTAGGTTGCTTCTTTTAAGTATTTTTAGATTCTATAATAATCACACAAAGTGGAGAGTGGAGATAGCCCCATAACGGTGGAATATTTCATTTGCCAAAGTAAAGTGTGTATATATTTCTGTCCTCCATGTTTTCCTCATGTATTCCTTAGGATTTTGATATTGTGTTGAGTTGTAAAGGATGTTGAGTTGTAAAGCCTATTTGGGTTCATATTTTACCTACTAGCTTATCTAAGGTATATAACCAGTAAATAGAAGGGCCAGAGTTGAGTACATTTCTGTCAGGTTCCAGATCCCATGTCATTGATTACCATCTATAATGTCTTGATGAAGCTTTTAACTAGCTGGGTCGTGAAATGATAATCTAGTTTCCTCATATGTAAAATCAGGATGGAACTATGCAAACCAAGCATTGTTGGGAGGAAAAAATGTGATATTTTTTGTGAACGTGGTTTGCAAATCAGTTTGCTCTTCTGTTTACTCTTTGCAAAGATAATCAAATATGTGTTTAAGTATATTGCAATTAATAATGACTAAGATCAAATATAACTATATATTTGAAATGATCACTTTCCTTACTCTTACATTATTTAATCTACTACTCATCAATATCAGATTTCTTTTTTCTCTTTTATAAAATTAATCTTTGGAAATTATCATCAGCAACATTATGATCTTCTGTCTTTTAAGGTACATCTCACTGTTGAGCTGTAGAAATGGCTTTAAATAACTTTGCTTTCTTAACAGACATTCAGTTAAAAAGGGAAAGGGTAGGGGAAGTCTTAGTTTTGATGAGTAGTGGCTGGTTTATGTGTCATTTTGGATGCTTTTCAGAAAATGCCCAAATGCCTTTTGCAAGAAAGCCATGTTATTTTTAAGGATGTGTTCCTGCAGCAAGTTGGAATTTGGTCCTAGGCTTAAAATAACTTTTGAAAACCAGGAAGCTCACCAAAATATTTGATCAGTACTAGTCTCCTTTACTGTTGACAGTTCCTTATTATGACGTGTTAACTTCCATAAATTTAAATTTTATGAAATGAACTTTTTGCCATTTGCAGAGGAAAAGGAGGAGTCAGGAGAGAAATATAAATGCGACTGTGTCCCTCTCTTCTGGAGCTTACAGTCTAGTGATGGAAGAATGCAAACAAGCATAAATGTTCCTCAAAGCAGAAAGTGCATTTGAAAATGGAACATCTGAAACCAGAAGGGGTTTATCTTTCCAAGCAGCTAAGAGTCCATAATTACAAAATACTTAATACAATTTCTTCAGGCTCAGGTGTCTCTTACCAGCAGTGAGAGACCACCTCACCAAGCCTAAGGTCAGCAGACAGCTAACTTGGGCTGCCAAAAGCTCTTAATAGAGAAAGTTAAGCCAGAGCTAGGATTTCCCTCCTAATCCCTTTTCTTGGCTCCTCTTAAATTTCAGAGACGGCCAATGACAGTGACACCTGATCTTTATATCTCAGTTCTTGGTCTGAAGGGATTTTCTCCTTCTACTGGCACAATTGGATCAGACACCACATACTCCATATGATCGCTACCCATTCCCCCTCTCCACTTCTTGCTTAGTTGCCTGCCTGCAACTCACTGTCCCCTTTTCTTCTGTAAATACCCTTACTACTGTGGATAAAGGCCAGGTGTGGGAGGCATAAAAGTGGAAGTTTTCAAAGGACACTTACCTTGCATGGTGGTTCTATGTGAACCAGTGTGCTCTTGGAACCTTCATGACAGAGAGGAGTAGGGGACAGTGGGTGAATTAGAGAGCAGGCTGTGCTGACCAGTCATCCTTCAGCTCCTGCCAAGAGTCCTTCTTAACTCTCCCACGGATGCCTGACCCTATCTCTCAATAGCAGCTACTGTCAGGCAGTGGTAGAACTGGAAATCACCATTAGTCACCTGATTTATGAAAGCCTGACTTCTTCCAAGCAAAGGAAGATTAGGGAGTCAATGTACAGTGCTTTGTGAAAATTGCAGGTTATTTGTAAACTGAAGCCCAGCTTATGAAGTAGAATGTGTTAAGTACTAGGATGGGGCTGTGAAAGCAAAGGAGAGCAAGATTAATTCTGACTGCAGGAACAGCTTCATTGAGACATTTCATTCATTCCTTTATTCAGTACTTTAGGCCACGTTTGTGCTAGCCCAAGTAGTGAACATATTGTAGCAAAATATTTATAGTAAATACAGTGAACAAGATAGACATGACCTCCAACATCATAGAACTGACACTAACCTTGGGTGAGTTGCTTTAGCTTCTCTGTGCCTCACTTTCCTAAACTAAAAATTAGGATGATGGTGATGATGATGATGATAATGATGATGATGACAGTAGTAATAATACCAATCTCATAGAGTAGTTAAACAGAATAAGTTAAGACATGCAAAGCACTTAGCAAGGTGTCTGGCACTTTGCATATTATGTTACTGTCATTACTAATTTTATATTCTAGTTGAAGAGAGGAGCAAGGCCAGATTTTGAAGACAGAAGGGTGGTCTGACTGAAGAGGATGAAAGTCACAGGGCAAATAAGCACACAGTTGAGAAAAGTAGGAATAGCAAGTAACTAACCCAAGTAACCAGAGGACAGGAGGCAAAGGGCATGAGGGGAGGAATGTTGGCAGTGAAGGTTGGACTAGATAGGTGGGGCTTTGCTCAAGAAGGACCTTGTATATCATACCGGAGGGGCAGCATTTTATTCAGCAGGAGAGTCAGGTTTTTCAATAGAGGTCAATGATGACCAGAATGTCCAGGATTAAACACTCAAGGGTGCTGGGCACTGGGACTGGCTTGGAATTAGACCATTCTGCAACTGAAATACATCAGAGCGTAGCAGGAAGACATTACTGTACCACCCTTTGCCCTTGGGTCTAAAGAAATCTGTGCCCTGACGTTAGCTCAGATTGTCAGTTTTCACAGCAAGCACCTTAGGGTTGCCAGCAGGCAGCAAGAACTGGAAGGTTAGATGTCTTCGTGAAATCTTATTAAACTCTCAGCTGCTTGGGAATAATGCACCACAGCTGCAGAGTTTTAGATAGCAAAGGGTCTCTGACTGTCAGAAATGTTACAGGTAGATAGTTTCATTTGTCCTCCTTGAAAGCTTAATATCATTGTCTTCTGTTCAAGTCAACTTATAGACCTCATTACCGCAAATTCATCAAACAGGTTGAGCAGCCTTATAGATTTTACCACACTCTCAGAACCATGTTAGGAAAGAGCCAATGCATTTTTAACCAACTTCAGCAGTTTAAAGCTCTTTGGTGTTGTAGTGCATTCATACAATTATCGGTAACTCTCTGAGAGCAGCATCTATGTCAAGAGAGATTCCCACTATTACAATGTGAGTTTCTGGAGGTAGAGGCTACATGTACTCCATTTTGTGACCCACCCAGACCACAGCATCATTTTTTGCTCATTAAAATAGAAGTTTCTATATTGATTTTGAACTTCCTGTCAGTGTAGCCTTTTCAAAAACATCCTGAAAAGTTCTATACTCAGACACCTTTCGTTTGAATCTAAGACGGTTATTGCTTTTTTCCTCTAACTCCTTCCAACATCCCACAACAAACACATGCTCTGTCAGTTGCTACAATTATGCAGGGTAGCAACCATAAAATGCCAATGCAACCATAAACTGTCAAACAGCAAAGCACATTTTTTTTTAGTTTGAGAGTCTGCAACGTTCCACTGGCTTGGCTACTTTTCAGTAGGTCACATTTGTGTCTGTGATTAGCTGCAACTGTACTTAGGTGTGGCTCAGTTGATTTTGCTAGGCTCACACATCTTGAGGCCAGTCAGTTACCAAGTGATCTAGAGCAGTCTCAGGTGGGTAAATTGGGGCAACTCATCTCTGCTGCATATGCCACATTTCCTCTTCTAGTAGGTAGCCTAGGCATGTTTTCATGGAGATAGAAGAGCGACCAAAGTAAGAGCAGGCCCCCTCATGCAAATGTTTTCCAAGCCTCTGCCTGCCTCATGTTTTTGCTCAAATCTTTCTGGCAAGTTCCATACCTGACCCTAGAGTAAGATGGGGAGGCACTGCCAAAGCATGTGACTATAGGGCCTTATATGCAATTCATGCAATTCATCTACCACATATGCTGGTTGAGGAAGAGAAATTATTCTTGTTGCATTGATCCCTTTATGATTATGTAATGCCCTTCTTAGTCTTTTTTGATCTTTGTTGGTTTAAAGCCTGTTTTATCAGATACTATGATTGCAACCCCTGCTTTTTGTGTGTGTGTGTGGCGGGGGGTTTCCATTTGCTTGGTGAATATTCCTTCATCCCTTTATTTTGAGTCTATGTATGTGTGACTTTGCACATGAGATGGGTCTCCTGAATACAGCACAGCTATGGGTCTTGCTTGATTCTTTATCCAATTTGCCAGTCTGTGTCTTTTAAATAGCGCATTTAG